AAAAAGATTTAATCCATATGTAAAAAAAAGTAGAAGAAGAAAAGGTAATACTTTCACTTTAAAAAGTAGGAAGTGTTTGCAAAACTTCCATCCAATAGAAGATGATTTTTTTTAAAAAGGATAACACACTGTCCAAAATAGATATGCCGTTTATTTTCTCTTCTTTTCTTTACAAGTTTAATTTACTTTTAATCTTTTTTGGGCAGTCTCTTTTGTAAAAATATAGTTTTACCACCAGATGGACACAATTTCTCTTTCTGCTTTCCTCCAGTTGTGGAGCTGTCCCGACTTCAGCAGCTTGGGGCTGCACTTCTATCGCCGGCTAGAAGAGATTCTCTTGGATCAATCAGGGACTTTGCAATGTCCCTGAGATCAGCAAGACATACTCTTCCCTGTCACCATCTCTTCAGGATGGTTTAGGTCCAGATGGACCACCCAGTGGTAAAACTATTGGCTGCGATCTCGGAGCTCCGAGATTGCAAGTCCATACCGTTGCAACGTCAGCTCCTTTCTCCTGCTTTTCTTCAGGTTTGATGGTCCTTTTTTTCTTCTAATCTCTCTTATTGTTCAAACCCAATATTATCTCCTGTTGGCCTCCTAAAGACAAGAAAATATTGTTCATATCCCTTGCAAAGGTTTTAATATTCCAAATTGGACAATGTTTGGGAAATTCTTAATATTATTATCAGAATAAATATGAATGCTATGAATCACAAAATTGTGGCCAGATGCTTACTATGTTGACTTCTTCCTCCAACAGAATTTTGGATTGTGGGGTAAGAGATGAGAATTACCTTGGTTGACCATGTTGAATGTCGAATGTAATGAACAAGATATTGCTAACAGCTTGAAAGAGAAATGAGCTAACTACAATATAGTTGCAAGAAACTGTTAATTAACCACAAACTGACAAGAGAAATTATTAGGGAAAAGAAAGCCACCTGACATATTCATGCCCCGAAATCAAGCCAAAATAATAGACCGTATATCCAACCTTAGCAAGAGACACATAAATAGCTGGAAACAACCTGATAAATATCTCAATAAGAGCAAAGACTCTAAGCCATCTATATTTACCATGATACAATAATTGCTGATTGTTAATATCCATACATTCTGAAATAATTTCTCCCTGGCTGGCCCTGAACTGCATATACGATAAATATTTGACTCAAAGTTCATTTTGAGCAGTTTTTTTTTTCTTAACTGGAGATGCATTGTTTGCAATGGTGGCAATGGATACATTGGGGGGGAGGAGCCTATGTCGCTACGAAACGGTCACCCGATCTTGATGCTCTGAGATCGCCGCCAATACTTTTTTCGCTGGGTGGTACAATCGGACCTAAACCGTCCCGGAGAGATGGTGAACAGGAAGACTACGTTTTGCTGATCACAGGGACATCGCATAGTCCCTAATTGATGCAAGAGAAGGTCTCTCAGCTGGCATTAAAAGCTCAGCCCCTAGGCTGATGAAGTAGGGACAGNTTTAATCTTTTTTGGGCAATCTCTTTTGTAAAAATAAAATTTCCTCACCAGATGGACACACTTTCTTTTTCTGCTTTCCTCCGGTTGCGGAGCTGTCCTGACTTCTTGAGAAGAGATTCTCTTGGATCAATCAGGAACTTTGCAATGTCCCTGAGATCAGCAAGACATACTCTTCCCTGTCACCATCTCTTCAGGATGGTTTAGGTCCAGATAGACCACCCAGCGGTAAAAGTATTGGTTGCGATCTCGGAGCTCCGAGATCGCACGTCTGTACCTTTGCGACATCAGCTCCTTTCTCTCGCTTTTCTCCAGGTTTGATAGTCCTGTTTCTCTTCTAATCTCTCTTATTGTTCAAACCCAATATTACCTCCTGTTGGCCTCCTAAAGACAAGAAAACATTGTTCATATCCCTTGCAAAGGTTTCAATATTCCAAATTGGACAATGTTTGGGGAATTCTTAATATTATTATCAGAGTAAATATGGATGCTATTAATCACAAAATTGTGGCCAGATCCTTACTATGTTGATTTCTTCCTCCAACGGAATTTTGGATTGTGGGGTAAGAGATGAGAATTACCTTGGTTGACCATGTTGAATGTCGAATGTAATGAACAAGATATTGCTAATAGCTTGAAAGAGAAATGAGCTAACCACAATATAGTTGCAAGAAACTGTCAATTAACCACAAACTGACAAGAGAAATTATTAGGGAAAAGAAAGCCATCTGACATATCCATGCCCCAAAATCAAGCCAGAATAATAGACTGTATATCCAACCTTAGCAAGGGATACATAAATAGCTGGAAACAACCTTACTAATATCTCAATAACAGCAAACACTCTAAGCCATCTACATTTACCATGATGCAATAATTGCTGCAAAACTTGGCAAGGAGTCTCGGAGAGTCACAAGCCAATTAATCAAACTCCTGCAAACACCACTCCCCTTTTGTTGCTCTTTTATTTCCTGTGGGAGGGGACATTCATCATCCACTTGTGGCCTTACTCCCAAGTTGTCTCCTGTTCTTTAGCTGTTCCCTTTGTCTGGCAATTCTGTGCATGCGCACCTTGGGAACAGGCTCCAGTTTTTTGTCTGCCTCACTGTTGTCTAACGCTGAAGACATCTGATAACTGGTATACGGCTCTGGCCCCCTCTGCTCCTGACACAAAGCCCTTATCAGAGCCTTCCCCAGACTCCAGGACTGATCTGTCAGCCTCTATATTGCTTGCTTGCTATCGGCTGCCATAGTAACGGGAAGGGAGGGGTTTTCGGTATTTGGGAGGGGAATCCTGCTGGAGGAGATATCTCAAAGAGGGAGTTTTGTTCTCATCAACTTCTGCGCATGCTGAATGCTCATGTTTAGATCTGGTCAAGGCCAACCATCTCTGCACACCAGCTGGATAAGGCCACCTGAAGATGCACCCAACATGACATCCTTGGGGGTTGGAGATTTGACATTTAGCTTGGAGTTGTTGGGGGGAGGGATTTGGGTGAACTTTTGATATGTACAAGTTTGCGCCATTTGGCCTCAGATCTTGCTTTACTTCTGCTGTTTTCACTTCATATCCAGTAAAAGTACCTTTTCTCTAAAACAATGGAGTTGGGGGTTTCCTTTCTTGGATTTTGAAGGAGGCATGTTTGTCATGTTCCTCCACATACTCCTCACTGTCCAAATTTGCTGCCAGCTGGCGGGCCACCACATCTTCTATACTCTGGAGTTATTGTCATTGCTTATAATTGAGAATTATTATTACAAAAAGAAAAATTGCTAGCAATCATGCAGCATTCAACTATGTAATGGCTTTTAAAATGTCTCCATGGAAATGTATGAGGTGATCTACAGGCTACAGAGATAATAGACAGATTAAAGATCATTAAATCATCAGATCATTAAAATGATTTCCCTTATCAATAATGTTCAACACCTTAAAAGAAGATATTATTTGTTTTTAAGACTTTGCTTGCCAAACAGAAGACATGAGGACAAAAAAGAGGAGACCCCCTTTTGTTGGACATCAGCGAAACTAAGATTTACAGACATGGAAGTGTGATGATGATCTACCTTATCCCATAATATTGCAGTTACTAATGTAGCCCAAGCTTCTGCTTCAACAAAAATGAGATGAATTGCTTAAGTTTGGGGGAGGAGACAAAACTGAAGCTTATATAACAAAACTCTAGCAGCTCTGTGCAACTGTAGCCCTAACCACATTTCTGTTCCTGCACTGTTTTGCCCAGCAGTAGTTTTTGATCATTCTAAGTCATTTGCTGAATCTGGAGGACAGCATGAAGCTGCTCACCACCTTTCTCTTTGTGATCCTTCTAGCTCTTTGGATGGGATTCCCCTCCACAACCGGGAGTGACCTCCCAGCAGGTGAGACATAAAAGTAGCTGGTTGGTGAAGAGAGATGATGGAGGAAAGAGAAGGAAGCCTCATTGAGTTTTTATTTTTAAATTGTCTATTTGATAGAGCAGATAGAATATTAATTTATGTAGCTTTTACTATTATTATCAGGGAAACTATGATAACATGTTAAACTGTAATGCAGTTTCAGAAATGCAAATGTTTCAATTCTGTTGGAGATGTTCTTCATACAATTTACAATTTCGCACAGGCATGTTTTGTATGTATGTATGTACGTACGAATGTATGTATGTATGTACAGTATGTATGTATGTATCTTATTGAGAGAAAATGGAGATTGTATTTGAAAAGAAAGATTGCCATCCTATCTATCTATCTATCTATCTATCTATCTATCTATCTATCTATCTATCTATCTATCTATCTATCTATCTATCTATCTAATTTATATATATCAGAAATTTAAAACTCATTTTACACCATGCTAGATATATTAGGTGCATCTCCAGATGGTAATCTTTTTAACTATAATCTCCATTTTCTCTCAATAAATTAAAGGTGCATATTTCGAATCTATTTACATTAATTTATATAACACTTGAAAAGAAATAATAATGAGAAAGAACTCTAAAGCTGAAATTGATTACTTAAACAACTTCACAAAAATGTTTTGAAACTTTCTTTTAACTTACAGTATAACATATTGCAAACCTTTGAAGTTGCAGAAAAATACAATTCATTTTGTTAAGGCTTTTAGGAGTTGTATCAGACAAGATTTAAATAAAATATGAGGTTGGAAGCCTGAAAAAGTTATTGGATTGAATGAGTCTTTGAAACAAAGGTAGAATTCGGAATCCTTCTGAGAATATGTTGAGCAATATCTCTGCAGAAAATCCTTCAGCATTTTTTTCCATTTGTCCAATTGATTTTTAATTAAGACACATCAGTCCAACTCACAGGTATGCTGGGGTTTTCAAACTCAGTGTACTCCATGCTACACATATTAGCTACATCTGTGGTGGAAATAGTATTCTCTTTTCTTCACTACCAGTTTGATAGAAGAAGCACGTGCTGTGCTTTGTCACTAAACAAAGCAGTTGATAAGTGACTACTACCTAGTCCCGTGATGGCTAACCTTTTTGTCCTCATGTGACAAAATCATGCACGTGTGCACAACAGTGTGTATATATGTGCCCACACCAACAATGCACTGTGCCCCATTCCACTGCGCATGCGTGCCCCCCCTCCTGTGTTGCCCTGTTCATGCGTGTGACATCCCCCCTTGCACCCCAATTTGGGCCTAGCAGGCCTCCTGGAATGAAAAAATGGAGTGTGGGGGGCACATCCCCATGTGCTCCCCTCATGCATGCACATCAGAGACCTGAAAGTCAGCTGGCCAGCAGGAGCATGCGCACATGTGAGGTGGAGATAAGCTGGACAACGGCTTGTGTGCCTGCAGAGAGGGCTCCATATGCCAGCTGTGGGACACATGTTATAGGTTTGTCATCATGGACCTATACATTAAATTTTAAGGTTAACCACTGTTGTACTGCATTATCCTCTTCTATTGCAGGAAAGCAGAGTCCAGAAAAGCCGGGGGAGTGTCTACCCGATCCTTGCATCTGCAATACTCCTACAGTTTATAAGTGCTGGGGAGATAATGATTGCGAAGGAAGGAAGAAGTGTTGTAGATATTGTTGTACAATGGAGTGTAGAGATCCAAGGTAAGAAGTTCTGAGATTCAGATAGTACTTTATATGCACTTTTCTCAATGACATTCTTATTTCATCTTCTTTGTGATTTCTTCCAAGTTTCTTTCACTTTAGCCTTCTAGGCTCATCTTGCCTACATTTTTTACTTTTCTTCTGAGGGGAATATAAATATTGCTTTCACCTTGCCTGCCTCTGATTCCCCCTCCTTGGAATGAACTCTGTGGGTACCGCACAACCTCATTTGTTGACATCATTATATTTCACTAAAATTCCCGTATAAAGCCAGTCCTTGACTCTTAGTTTTAATTCTTCAGCAAGCTTTTTACAACAAGAATCCTCCAATTCAAATTGAAATACATTTTTCTTTATTGTATCATTTGACTTTTTTATTGAATCATTTGACTTCTTAGACAACTTCATCAGCAAAATGTGTACAGTACTCTGGAAAGTAGTTTGGTTGTTAGAATTATGATACTCATGTAGTGACTTCTGGAGTGTTGTTTACTTAGATTTTAACATGTCATTTCTAATCCATAACAGGCTTCCCGGCTAATGAAAGTGGTTTGATGGTTCAATGTATTCAACAATATTTCAGCATCTTTTTGATCCCTTCATAAGCCTCAATGTCTCTTGAACAAGAGATGAGAAGAGCAAGATATCTGCCACACTGCTTTACTCCTTGTTTTTTTCAGGGAACTTTTCTTTCTGCCTGTTTTGCTGAATGTCTCACTTTCTGTCTTACAGCTTGCTATTATATACATATTTTCAAT